ATGAGACCTCATCTGGAATACTGTGTGCAATTCCGGTCTTCTGTGTTTAAGAAAGATTAATTCAAACTGGAATGGTGCAGAGAAGGGCTACCAGGATGATCAGAGGAATAGAGAACCTACAGTATAAGAGGAGACTCATGGAGCTTGGTTTGTTCAGCCTAACAAAATGAAGGCTATGGGGAGATATACTTGCTCTCTATAAATGCATCAGAGGAATAAACACCAGAAAGGGAGAGGCGTTATTTAAGTTAAGGGCCAATGTTGGCACCAAAAAAAAAAAAAATATGGATATAAACTGGCTATCAATAGGTTGCTAGCCATCAGAAGAGTGAAATTTTGGAACAGCCCTCTAAGGGGAGTAGGGCAAAAGACCTAACTTGTTTTAAGGCGAAGCTTGATAAATTTAAGGAGGGGATGGTATGATGAGATTAACTACAATGGCATAAGGCCCATCCGCAACTATTAGCAGAAAATATCTTCATTGGCTGAAAGCGGGACACTAGATGGGAAGGGCTGTGTTACTATGGAGAATTCTTTTCCAGGTGTCTGGCTGGTGGGTCTTGCCCACATGCTCAGGGTTTAACTGACTGCCATGTTTGGAATCAGGAAGGAATTTCCCCCCAGGTCATATTGGCAGAGATCCTGGGGGCTTTTCATCTTCCTCTGCAGCATGGGGCACAGGTCACTTGCTGGTCAGAATTAGAGTAAATAGTGGATTCTCTGTAACTTCTGGAGTCTTTAAATCAAGATTTGAGGACTTCAGTAACTCAGCCAGACCTACTATTATGGGCCTACAACAGGAGCGGGTGGGTGGGTGAGGTTCTGTGACCTGCACCATGCAGGAGGTCTGACTAGATGATCATGAACAAATTAGAGAAAGTCCAGAGAAAAGCAACAAAAATCATTAAAGGTCTAGAAAACATGACCTATAAAGGAAGATTGAAAAAACTGGGTTTATTTACTCTGGAGAAGAGAAGACTGAGGGGGACACACAATAAGTTTTAAAGTACAGAAAAGGTTGTTACAAGGAGGAAGGAGATAAATTGGTTTTTGTTAACCTCTGAGAACAGGTCAAGAAGAAATGGGCTTAAATTGCAGCACGGGCTGTTTAGGTTGGACAGTAGGAAGAACTTCCTAACTGTCAGGGTGGTTAAGCACTGGAATAAATTGCCTAGGGAGGTGGTGGAATCTCCATCATTGTAGATTTTTAAGAGCAGGACAGACAGACAGACACCTGTCAGGGACAGGCTAGATAATACTTAGTCTTGCCATGAGTGCGGGAGACTGGACTAGATGATCTCTTGAGGTCCCTTCCTGTCCTACGATGGTCCTTTCTGGTCTTAAAGTCTATGAGAAGGCCAGATCCCTCCAGGACAAACCAACTGGAAAACAGACGAGCTATTTTGGCTGGTGTTAGACACCCATCTGCTACAGATCTGACATCCCATCTTTAGGGTCAGCTCAAACACACAATTCACCCTTTCAGGGTTGATGTGGAAAGGGAAATGAGAGCTTGCCTGTAGTGATGGCTTCTATTCTGAAGAAGACAGAAAAGCATAGGCCAAGTACCCAGAAAGGATTTTGTCTCGAGTGCCTTGTTACATGGAGTTTCCTTGCCCTCACTTCATAACTTGGGGTCCAGGAATCCGAGTTTTCCCTTTCTTCCAACACCATCCATGGTTTAAAAGTCTTCAGTCGCATAGATTATGGAGCCAGAAGGGACCACTAGTCTAACCGCCTGTATAGCACAGGACTTCCCTCAATTAATTCCTGTTTGAACCAGAGCAGATCTTTTAGAAAAGCATCAGTCTTGATTTTAAAATAGAGACTCCAGCATAACCCTTGTTGAGCTGTTCCAAGGGCTAATTACTCTCACTGTTAAAAATGTATGCCTTATTTCCCGACTGAATTGGTCGAGCTTCAGCTACCTGCCACTGGATCTTTTTAAACCTTTGTCTGCTAGACTGAAGAGCCAACGATCAATTTTTTGTTCCCCATGTAGGTACTTACAGGCTGTGATCAAGTCCTCCCTTAACCTTCTCTTTGTTAAGCAAAAGAGATTAAGCTCTTGGAATCTCTCATTATTCGGCATGTTTCCCAATCCTTTGATCATTCTTGTGGCTCTTCTCTGAACCTTCTCACATTTATCAACATCCTTCTTGAACTGGACACATCAGAACTGGATACAGCATTCTAGAAGCGGTCGTTCCAGATCCAGAGGTAGCATAACCTCTCTAGTACTCGATATCCCCCTGTTTATACATCAAAGGATCTCACTAGCTCTTTTGGCCACCGCATCACACTGGGTGCTCATGTTGCACTGATTATTCAGGACCCTCCCCAACTTCCCCACCTCACCCCCAGAGTCATGCTTCCCAAGACAGAGTCCCCCATCCTCTAAGTTTGTTTCTGGATGTATAAATTTAGATACGGCCATATTAAAACATAGTTTGCTTGCACTGAGCTTAAAGAGCAATTCAAACTGCTCTTTAATAGTGACTTGTCTTCTTCACAGTTTACCACTCCACCAACCTGTGCGTTGTTTATCAGTGTTATCAATGATGATTTTATGTTTTCTTCCAGGTCATTCATTAAAATTTGTATCAGGACTGATCCCTGCAGGGCCCCACCAGAAACACACCCGCTCTACGAGGATTCCACATTTACAATTACATTTTGAGACTTCGCACATGTCCAATGGACTAAAACTGGCTAGCTGATATGCTTCTTTTTTTAATCATTCTAGTTTGTTTAAAAATCAAAATGCTGTGCAGTACCAAGTCAAATGCCTTACAAAAGTCTAAAATTATATCAACACTATTGCCTTTATCAACCTAACTTGTAATCTCATTCAAAAAAATCACTTTAGTTTAATAGGATCTTTTTTCCATAAAGCCATGTTGACTGGTGTTATTCTTCCCTCCTTTATTAACAAGGCCCAAATCAGCTGTCCCCACGATCAATGTCAGGCCTATAATTATTTGGGTCATTCTGTTTACACATTTTAAAGAATAGCACAATAGCTTCCCTCCAATCTTCGGGAAGTTCCCCAGCATTCCAAGAATTATTGAAGAAGAGAGGGGACAGGAGCAGGGGGTGCGGGGGAGGAGGAGGAGACAGGGGACAACCAAAAAAAAAAAAAAAAGCCATTGGTGACCCAGGAAGCTCCTCAGCCACTGCTTTTAAAACTCTTGGATGCCAGTTATCCAGACCTGAATCCTCTAAATTTCCCCACTCCGATAAATCACAACTGCAGGCTCCCTGGGCCAGAACAGCAACATCTGGTTTATTCTGTCCTCTCCACTAGGCATCACTCTGCCTGCATCCGCCTTACAGAACTAGTAGCAGATCCCTGCCCAAGGAGGGAAGCCGATTCCGCCCCTTCCATTGCCTTTTCAAATGCAGGCAGAGCACAGGCAGACAGAGAGCCTCTATCCTGAAATCTAAGAAGATTATAAATACATAATTGCCTCACCATTTGGTTTATTTTTAGCCTGGTGTTTCCCCAGCACAGATGCTGTGTGGAGTTAAGTAGCATGTCAACATGCTGCATGCCTGACTCAGAGAGTCAAGCGCTGCTAGGAGGCTTGCCCACATCAGGCTAACGCCTCCAGGCGATACAGTAGCTGCCTACGGATAGGACCAGGACAGAAGGAGAAGGGACACACTGCACTAGATCCATACTGGTGCTAGAGTGCAAGGATCCACAACTGGTGGATCGGTTTGTGCCAGTACCCAAGTGCCCTGCCCTGCCCAAGCCAGTAAACGCATCAAGCTAAATAATTACCTTTTCCCAAGGAATGACATCTGCCGCTTTGCTCAAATCAGGTCAGAAACATACTGGCTTCAGCCTCCTCTCCTGGCCTCACTCACCCCCATTTCCACTCTCCCACCTCCTGCTGCACAAAACCCGTCCTGGGCACAATGAGCACAAACCCTGGCACCAAAACATTCCAATGCTACTTTCTCCAGAGAAGCTGGTGCCCCCCACAGGGACAGAGACTCCAGCAAGTCCAAGGGACTCCCATGGGAAAACATGTCACCATGTGGCAGAGAGAAGGGTCATTCATGTACAGTTTCATCACTACGGCAACTCTGTTTCAGGGACCACAGCAAGGCGGGCCATCCAGGTACCCAAGACAGCGTGATTTAGCTAAGGAGGAACAGATGGGCTTCCATCCTGAACCTACCAACCCCCAACACTTAGGGTGCCCCTGCTGCCCTCCCAGCGCTTGGATTCTGAGCTCCCCAATGCAGCACAAACAAATCACCCCACACCATTAGACCAGCCAGGACTGATCATTAGGGATATGCCTTCCCATGGTTCAAGCCTGTGCCAATAAAACCCAACCCCTCAAAGAGAGGATCTGCCCTGCAGGTTCTGCTCTCCCCAGCCACAACATCCAATGCAGCAGGGTCTTGGCATCTCAGGTTTACCCTTGCAGGGGAAGAAAAAAAAGCTATTTGTCAGTAGAATCTTTAAATCAACGTTCCTGGAAGATTTCCCCACTGCCCAAGCCAAGCCACGTTGGGCAGACATCCCAGCACTTTTAGCAGAGGAGGCGGCAACGAGGCGGGATTCGGTCAAGTTCCCTACCCAGGGAGCACAATCCCCCGGGGTGGGGAGAACATGTGGGTTTTGGTGCATCACACGAAGATGGATGCTCTCAGTGATCAAGCAGAGAATTAGAGAGCGACTCAGTCCCTTGTTGCTTGAGGCACAAGCAGCCCCTGGAAGGTCAGGAGAGGGCAGAGCTCCCTGCAGGCTGGGCTGGGCATAGCACGAGGGGAAGGAGCAGCTCCCCTCACTTGCTAGCAGCTCCTCCAGGGCAGCCCTGACTGCCCCAAAGCCCAAGGGTACACCTTGCCCAGCCCTTACTCTGATAGGGGGCAGTAGGACTTGCACTCATCCCCTGCATGAGGCTGGGAGACACCAAGTTACTCACCTTCTAGGCCCCCCCCCCCGCAACCCCTCCCCAACCCAGCAGCAAAGCTCCTACCTCTGCCTGGGCACTGGGATGTAGGCCGAATGCAGGGGGGGGGCGCTGCTCCGGCCCCACGCTGATGAGTCGCAGCGCTGCCTCCTTGTTTGATCCCTCCAGCTGGCTGTGGGTCACGGCAGGCAGGCCCTGCCGCTCATCCACCTTCCTGCCATTCAGCACCAGAGCGTCCGTCAGGCCCCTCGGCTCAGCTTCTTCGAGCAGCACATTGCCATTACAGCTCTGCAAGACATGACACAGGGACAGAGCTCTTATCACGGGCGTCAGGGCGTGCAGCGGGGTTATAAGATTTAGGGGTCCAATGCAGCATAACCCTAGTCATCCCAGAGACACCCTGAATCAGCCCTAGCAAGCTTTGAAGCCTGCATCCAGAGTCACCCCAGAGCAGAGAGCACTCTGGTGCTCCTCTCACAGGAGCCCTGGCAGGCTGAGAACTTGAGTCAAACCTTGGAGGATGGATGCAGTTTCAAAACAGAGCACGTTAGGGTTTAAAGAGAAGCCAGGTTAGTCTGCAAGTCAGGGACCCCACAGTTGGTTCTGCAGTAAACAAAGGCGCTTCATTAGCAACAGCTGGAGCCCATTTTCCCCCTTTCTGAAAAGGCAACTGCTTCAAATAGCCCCTTCCCTCAACTGCAAACTCCCTCCCTCCAAGGGACAGACACACATTTCATACACAGACACCCCATCCAAACTAAGGAGCAGTGGGGGGGGGGGTGAAGAGTTGGCTCTCCTGCTGTTCTGCATATAACTAAAGGACTTTGGTCCCCAGGGCCACCAAGCCAATACCTCACTCCAGGGTTAGATTTGGCCTATAACATACAAGAAAACCCAAAACCCACCACAAGAGATTTTTTTGCACATGTTGGATTACCTGCTGCATAACCCCCATCTGGAGAGGGACTTTGCTGGCTCTTTCATATCTCACCATCAGGCCTCCATGTCTGCAGAGAATCAGCCAGGTCTGGCTTCCGCAAACAGGGCAGCAGCAAGGCTCCCAGGCCCATCAAGTTTTCTTACACAAACACAGCAGGTGTGAATCAAGGCAGCTCAAGTCACCCCTCCCGCTTGTGCGAGAGCCGATGGCAAACGTCCGCAAAACCCCTTCATTTTTCTGTTGCAGTTTTCTGTGATGGGCCCCACCCCCCTCCACCCAACTGTGCGACACTTACTTACACCAAGCAGCACTTCCACGCAGGAGCAGTCCAAATGACTTCAATGGGATGGCTCCCACACGTTGCCCTGGGTAATGGTTGCAAAGTTTGGCCACAGCGAGAGGAAGCAGACTCGCCATGGCACACTCCTCCAGGAGGGAGGGTTTGAAACCTATGGCTGAACTCCATCTGCACAGACTACTCCACAGCGGCTTGGCTACAAACAGCTAACCCCTCCAGAAAGAAAGCTAAACAGAACAGAACGCATCTGCTTACTCCTCAGATGTGGCCCAGAGAGCCAAGCTCACCCCACTCCTAACCCTACCAGGGTAACTCAGAGGCTCCGTCTACACTAGGACGGTTTTAAAGATGACCTTTCACATTCAGTTCCCACCCATCCTTTTTGCCTAGCCACTCAGGCTGGCAGCGTGGAGAGCCGGGGACGACTTAAGTACCCAGTGAGGATTTGGGGGGGGTAGTTATTGAGCAACCAATGCTCTGAGAATGCAAGCTACCAATCATTAAAGTGTTCTCTCACTGCCAAGAACTATCACTTCCCACTGACTGCAGTGCCATCTTCTGGAGAGGTCAGAGCTGATCAAGGCCCCTTCCAGCCACACAGAACCCAACTAAAGCCAGCTGTGCATGTCGTCTGCATCTCTCTTTGATAAGGCCAGATAGACAGAAAATGGAGTCCAGTTGCTCAGAGACAGGTATTGTCAGTGATCCTTTTAAACAGGAACAGTGTCACAAAACACTGAAAATACCTTTCTTGATTCTACTCACGATTGATGTTTTGTTTACTTATTACTAGTGTTACAATAGTGCAATAGCAGCATATCTAGTCACGTCTGGTTTAAAACAAACAGAAAACACGAAATTTCTGTCCTGACACCTTTCAGTGTCCCACTGCAGTTTAATATCCACTTGCGCCCCCACCTCTGTAACATGCACCTTTCTGCCCAAACCATTCTGTTACAGGCCTTCGGAGACCAAAAAAAACAAAAAAACCCCAGCATTTGCTCCCCCTCTTCCTAAACAAACGAGCACAGGAATCAGGCCAATTTTAAACAGTGACTGTGGTGTGAATAAGGAGTTACCAATTTAAGAGGTCAAATGTATTAGGTAGTACTATGCTTTAATAGCCATTGTTACTGGAACTGGTCTTTTTCAAACAGTGGGGTGGAAACCTTTGCAGACTAAACAAAATTACTCAGAATAATTAGATCCAAAGTTGACTAAGAAGAGTTATAAAGGGATTTCACAAAACTGGGTCACTAGGCAAGAAAATGGCAGATAAAATTCAATGTAGATAGAAACAGTAATGCACATTGGCAACAAGTAATACAGACCCCATCATTCTGTATGTATAGTTGGCATTATGTTTTTCCACTCAAGAAACAGGTCTTGGTGTTATTGCGGATAGTTCTCTGCAAATATCGAGTTAAAATGCAGCAGCAGTCAATGAAGCTAACAGAATGCTAGGAACCATTAGGAAAGATAGACAGTAACACAGAAAATATCAAAGCCACCATATAAATCCATGGTATGCCGACCTCTTGAATACTGTGTACAATTCTGGTTGCAGTAGTCTCAAAAAATTATTATAATTGGAAAATGTGCAGAGAAGAGCAACAAAAAATCATTAGGGGTATGGAACAGTTTCCATACGAGGAAAGGTTTAAAAGACTAAAAGAGACACCTAAAGGGAGATAGGATAGAGGTCTATAAAATCATGAATGGCATGGAGAAAGTGAATAGCAAAGTGTGTTATGTGAAAAAGTAAACAAGAAACAGGGTTAATCCAATGAAATTAATAAGCAGCAGGTTTAAAAAAAACAAACAAAAGTATTTCTTCACACAACACACAGCCAACCTGTGGAACTTGTTCCCAGGGGATGTTGTGAAGGCCAAAAGTATAATTGGGTTCAAAAAAGAATTAGGTAAGTTCGTGGAGGATAGGTCCATCGGTGGGGCTAATAGCCAGGATGGTCCGGGACGCAACCCCATGCTCTGGGTATCCCCAAGCCTGACAGCCAGAAGCGGAGACTGGACAGGGGATGGAACACTCGATAACTGCCCTGTTCTGAAGCATCTGGCACGGGCCACTGAGGGAAGTCAGGACACTGGGTTAGAGGGACCCAATATTGGTCTGACCCAGACTGGTCATTCTTATGCAACTCCTAAAATGAATTACCTTCATTCACATTCAGTTCCCACCCATCCTTTTTGCCTAGCCACTCAGGCTGGCAGCGTGGTACCACATACAGCAACTGCTGCCGTACTGTACTCTGGGCCTAAAGAAGTCCACTAAAAAGCCTCAACAGCAACATTACTTTTGGAAAAAAAAAAACCCACACCAAAAAACAGGTGGGTGGGGAAATTGAGCCTCTAACAGTAGCTATCCCCACACTTGATTAAAACAAGTGTGCTTGTTTGGGATGGGGGGGCAGACACCCCATCGAGTAAGCTCTTAGTCTTTTTACAAAAATCCTAGAAGTTAATAGGAAAGCTGCTGTTGCTACAGTATCAGAAGTGCAGAGGAGTTCGTGGTGATTAGTATCTCCCCCTCCTGCTCCACTCTGAGCAGCCTGCCCACGAAGACATAAGAACCAGAAAAGCCTGCAGCTGGCGGAAAGTACAAGTGGTTAGAATCATCTTCTTCTTACAGCAGGGAACTTACATCTGCATAGCTACGGCTCCCCGGGGGTGTGAAAATTCACACCCCTGAGGTATGCCGTTAAGCCAACCTCACCCTCATGTAGGTGGACAGTAAGACTCTTCCAGGGACCTGGCTACGGCCTCTCAGGGAGGCGGATTAACTACAGCCCCGGGGGAAAACCCGTCCCACCTCCACAGCGAGTGCCTACACTGAAGCACGACAGCGGTGCCGCCGCCGCAGCAGCCTGAGTGTAAACATACCCGTGGCATTTACTAGATCTGGTCTCAAAGCAAGCGACCCTGCTCCGGCAAGTCTCCCCGCCTGCAGGATCCATGCGGATCTGCCAGGTCCTGGGGCTAGCTCACGAAGAGGGATCTGCACAGAACTGGTGGGGCGGCGGGACGGATCCGCACAGAGCCTCGGGAGGCTGGGGCGGATCCCACAGAGGCTGGAAGATCCCTCCTCCCCCATGATCTACGCCCCACCCCCAGGAGCCAGGCGCTTTCCCTCCCTCCGCCCCGGGCCATGCAGCCCCCACCCCCTAGCCCGGGGCCCGGCAGCCCCCTCCCCCGGCCCCGCCCCCGGGGCTGGCTGTCCGCGCGCGGGGTGATTGATGGCCCGTGCATTCCAGCAGCGCCGGGCGGGCGGGCGGGCCGGCGCTAGGGGGTGGGGGGCCGGCCCCGCTCGGCCCAGGCCCGCTTCCCTCTAAACTTTCCGCACGGCCACTTCTACCGAGCGGCGCCATCTTTAGCGAGGGAAACTTTCCCGGCGCCGCGGAGCCGGCGGCCGCCCCCCGCCCCCGCGATCGCGCCGCAGCGGCCCGGCCTCCGCGGCGGGCGGGAAAGAAAGAGGCTTGGCAAGCCCGGGCAGGACCGAGCTGTCACGTACCCCCGCTGACCCCCCCCCCCCAAAAAAAAAATTACAACGGCGCCTTCAGCAGACTCGCACCCCCAGCGGGGAGCGACACGTCCCTCCGTGCAACCCCCCTCGGAGAACTCCCTCCGCCCCATGCACCCCCCCCGAACTCCCCTCCCTCCGCCCCAGCTGCCCCATGCACCCCCCCCAGAGGAGCCCCCCGGCCCAGGCAACCAGCCTTCCAGGGGGAGCGCCACACTTATCGAGGCGCGACACCCCCAACAGGCAGCTGCCTCCGCGCACATGCAAGCCCCGGAGGCAGCCGTACCAGGCCACGGGACACACCCACCCCGCCGGTGCCGCGCTCAGCCCCGCTCCCCCTTTGCGGGCGCCGGGGGAGGGTCGGGCCTCCCGTACCTTCTGCAAATGCTTCACCCGGCCCTTGCCAGGGCTCTTCCCCTCGAGCCCGTTGGCCACCGACGCGTCCTCGCTACTTTTCCGCCGCCGCCGCCGCAGCAGGGCATCTTCCACCAGCACCGTGTAGACGGCGTTGCTGGCCGCGGAGGACGGGGCTTTGCACGCCTGGATCACCCCGCAGTACAGCCCGTGGCGGTGGGCAGCCGACGGGGGGCTGCAGTCGGGGCAGCAGGGCCCGGCCGCTGTTAAGCCGGGCGGAGGGGAGCAGATCCTGCTGTCCGGGGCAGCTCTCTTGGGGAGGCGCTTGGGATCCATGGCCCCTGCGAGAGGGACCGAGCCCCCTCCCGGCGAGGGGGAGGTGGGGGGCGCCGTGCGGGCGGAGGCTGGAGCCCGGCCGGTGGCTTCGGGTCGCTCCCTCCACACCGAGCTCCCCCGGTCTCTGCACCCGCCGACCACGCCCCCAGCCCGCGCTCTCCCCCTCTCGCGGCTCGTGCGAGCCGGGGAACCATTCTCCACTCCCCGCCCTTCGCCATTGGCCCGCTCGCTGTATCAACATTCCGAAATGGAATATGGGCCCGGGCCCGGAGCCGGCTCGCACGCCCATTGGCCCCGCCGTGTTGCCAATTAGCGTGGGGGCGTTCCATTCGCCCCGCCTCACTCCCCAGCCCGGCTGCTGCTTGACTTTGATTTCAGACAGGGAGGGAGATTGGGGTTGGGGAGGGAGCCGGGGTTTGCTGCTGGGTTTAGCGGCCATCTTCAGGGGCTTGGGTGGGGAGCGAAGGAGCCCTTTTGCCTTGACGCTTTGGGGTGAGGCGAGAAAGCAAAGCCTCCAACGAGCAAAAGTGGCTCATCAGTTAAAAGCTGCATGTGTTGTGGGTTTTTCCTAAATGTAACCACTTGGAGATGGACCCCAACTAGGGCGACCAGACAGCAAATGTGAAAAATCGGGGCAGGGGGTGGGGGGTAATAGGAGCCTATATAAGAAAAAGACCCAAAAATCAGGACTGTCCCTATAAAATCAGGACATCTGGTCACCCTAACCCCAACCGAACCCCCTGGCTCTGAACTTTGGGGAAGTTGGATTAAGATCCAGCCTTTAGTTGGGATTCTGTACTTTGTAGCTGGGGCCTGTCTTTACTGACCATTAATAGGCTCACAAAAGCTGTTTGGGGAAATGATTAAGCCAGTAACAGTACTTTTCACAACTCAAGCACCCACTGTCTGAGCATCTCAAAATACTTATCAATGTTTATTATTTGTTTAGAGTCCAAGCTACCTGATCTGAAGAGACTAATATCTTAAAACTCAAAAGCAGATACTGACGTGGGCAAGGTATACACTATACAAAGTCTTTGTCATATGAAGTCTTCTATGTATCTCATTAGTTCCAACTTTAAAAAAAAATATCAACTTTTTCCATCTTCCAGTCAGTCCTGGTGCCCGGCTCACCCACTCCCAAATCACCAGGCTTGTTTAAAACAAAAGGCAGTATTTCTTCATACAATGCAGAGTCAACCTGTGGAACTCTTTGCCAGAGGATGTTGTGAAGGCCAAGACTAGAACAGGGTTCAAAAAAGTGCTAGATAAATTCATGGAGGGTAGGTCTATCAATGGCTATGAGCCAGGATGGGCAGGGATGGGTGACTATCTGTTCTGTTCATTCCCTCTGGGGCACATGGCATTAGCCACTGTCAGAAGATAAGATACCGGGCTAGATGGACCTTTGGACTGACCCAGTATGGCTGTTATGTTCACCACCGTATGTTAATGATACTTTGCAAATATATATGGGAAAGACCTTCTCATGCTACCAGGTGTGCAAGCACAGACCTCTGCAGATGTGTGGAGCCCCCCTTAAGTTAATGGTTTCCCCAAGGGTGCAGGAATCCACTCTAGAAGATCTGATTGCTGGATCAGAGCCTGGGGCTTGGTCTACACTACCAACTTATGTTAGTATAAGGTCCATCTAGCCCAGTATCCTGTCTTCTGACAGTGGCCAATGCCAGGTGCCCCAGAGGGAATGAACAGAACCGGTAATCATCAAATTGGGGGGAGGGATAGCTCAGTGGTTTGAGCATTGGCCTGCTAAACAAACCCAGGGTTGTGAGTTCAATCCTTGAGGGGGCCATTTAGGGATCTGGGGAAAAAATTGGGGATTGGTCCTGCTTTGAGCAGGGGTTGGACTAGATGATCTCCTGAGGTCCCTTCCAACTCTGATATTCTATGATTCTAAATGATCCTGGTAGCTCCTGGCAGACAGAGGCTAGGGACACCATCCCTGCCCAGCCTGGCTAATAGCCATTGATGGACCTATCCTCCACAAACTTATCTAATACTTTTTTGAATCCTGTTATAGTCTTGGCCTTCACAACATCCTCTGGCAAAGAGTTCCACAGACTGATGGTGCGTTGTGTGAAAAAATACTTCCTTTTGCTTGTTTTAAACCTGCTGTCTATTAATTTCATTTGGTGACTCCTAGTTCTTGTGTTATGAGAAAGAGTAAATAACACTTCCTTATTTACTTTCTCCACACCAGGCATGATTTTATAGACTTCAATCATATCCCCCCTTAGTCGTCTCTTTTCCAAGCTGAAAAGTCCAAGTCTTATTAATCTCTCCTCATACGGAAGCTATTCCATACCTCTAATAATTTTTGTTGCCCTTTTCTGAACCTTTTCCAATTCAAATATGTTTTTTGAGATAGGGCAGCCACCTGTGCACGCAGTACTCAAGATGTGGGTGTATCATGGATTTATATAGAGGCAATATATTTTCTGTCTTATTATCTATCCCTTTCTTAATGATTCCCAACATTCTGTTCCCTTTTTTGACTGCCACTGCACATTGAGTGGATGTTATCAGAGAACTATCCACAATGACTCCAAGATCTCTTTCTTGAGGGGTAACAGCTAATTTAGACCCCATCATTTTATATGTATAGTTGGGTTTATGTTTTCCAATGTGCATTACATTGCATTTATCAACATTGAATTTCATCTGCCATTTTGTTGCCCCGTCTCCCAGTTTTGAGGGATCCTTTGTAGCTCTTCGCAGTCTGCCTGGGACTTAACTATCTTGAGTAGTTTTGTATCATCTGCAAATTCTGCCACCTCACTGTTTGCCACTTTTTCCAGATCATTTATGAATATGTTGAATAGGACTGGTCTCATTACAGACCCCTGGGGGACACCACTATTTACCTCCTTCCATTCTGAAAACTGACTATTCCTACCCTTTGTTTCCTATCTTTTAACCAGTTACCTGTCCATAAGAGGACCTTCCCTCTTATCCCATGACTGCTTACTTTGCTTAAGAGCCTTTGGTGAGGGACCTTATTAAAGGCTTTCTGAAAATCTAAGTATACTATATCTACTGGATCCCCATTGTCCACATGCTTATTGCCCCCCTCAAAGAATTCTAGTAGATTGGTGAGGTATGATTTCCCTTTTCAAAAACCGTATTGACTCTTCCCCAGCAAATAATGTTCATCTATATGTCTGACAAATTTGTTCTTTACTATAGTTTCAACCAGTTTGCCTGGTACTGAAGTCAGGCTTACCAGCCTGAAATTGCCGGGATCACCTCTGGAGCCCTTTTTAAAAATTGGCATCACATTAGCTATCCTCCAGTCATTTGGCACAGAAGCAGATTACAGTTAGTAGTTCTACAATTTCACATTTGAGTTCCTTCAGAACTTTTGGGTGGATACCATCTGGTCCTGGTGACTTATTACTGTTTAGTTTATCAGTTTGTTCCAAAACCTCCTCTAATGACACCTCAATCTGGGACAGTTCCTCAGATTTGTCACCTAAAAAGAATGGCTCAGGTTTTGGACTATCCCTCACATCCTCAGCCATGAAGACTGAGGCAAAGAATTAATTTAGTTTCTCTGCAATGGCTTTATTGTCCTTGAGTGCTCCTTTAGCATCTCGATTGTCCAATGGTCCCACTGTTTGTTTAGCAGGCTTCCTGCTTCTGATGTACTTAAAAGTTTTTTTGCTATTACTTTTTGAGTCTTTGGCTAGCTGTTCTTCAAATTCTTTTTTGGCCTTCCTCATTATATTTTTACACTTCATACCAACCTAGCCCCCAGTGTACACAGCGTTATGTAGACAGGAGGGCTTCTCAGGGAGTTGGAGTATCTACGCCAATGGGCGAAGCTCTCTCATTGGCGTAGGTAGCATCTTCACTAAGGGCAAGTCTACACTAAATTGACCTACGTTATTTCGACATTCAGCCACCACGGTAGTTGAATCGCTTTTGCATGTCCACACTACATTCCTTGTGTCGGCGGTGCGTGCCCTCACCAGGAGCACTTGCACCTATTTAACTGTCAGTGTGGGACAGCCAGTGCTCAATTTGTGCCAGGGCTTGCCACATCAATTATGAAAGTAAAACAATTGGTTAAGCCCCAGCATCTCTTTCATTACAAATTTAACACTGGGGCCAACTTCTGAAAGGCAGCAACAGTCAGCGTAATCAACGCAGTGTCTACACAGACACCGCATCAACCTGACTACATTGACCTCAGCACTATGCCTCTCATGAAGGTGGAGTTATTGAGTGGATGTAGTGAGCAAGTTACATTAGTGGGATCTATATTTTAGTGTCGACACTTACAGAGTTAGGTTGACATAAGCTGCCTTACATCAACTTAACCCTGTGGTGTAGACCAGGCCTTACAGTAGACAAGCCCGAACTCTCATAGCATCCTTGTGAGATAAACATTACTCCTTTTATAGATGGGTAAAATGAGATAAAGCAGGTTTAACTGGCGTATTGTTGGAGCCTCCCGTTGAAGTACACATATGAGAGTCAGTTTGTTCCAGGGCGTCTTCTTGTGCGAATGTAAACCAATGAGGGATCTGCAGATGCGTCCACGCGTCAGGCAGACGTGGCCATGTTTTTACCACTGGTTTCTTCACTCACACGTCTCTTTGGCTTTTTCTGTTCTGTTGTTCTCGATGGCTTTAACCGCAGGCCAGCAGGTCTGCTGCCGTCCTGATCTATCGGCAGCAGCAGCTTGCCATGTGTTCGGGTCAAGTTGGCCAGCTTTTAGGGGAGCTTTGAAGAGTGTCCTTATTTTCATTTTCATTGGCCTCTCCATTTTCAACTGTTGATAAAATATGGCTTTGAGGAGGCTTGCATCATCCATACGTACAAGATAATCAGTCTAGCCATGTTGCACCTGTATGGTTAGGAATTCAATGCTGGTCATGCAGCACTGGTCCAGGACTTTGATGTTTGGTATCCTGTCCGACCACTTGATGTTACAGATGAAACACAGACAGCGCACGTGAAAGTGCTATCGTTGTTTTAGAGCGTCTGTGTTTCACAGCCATATAGAAGAGTGCTCAACACAACGGCACGATAAACACTGTTCTTGGTGTGAAATCGAATGCCACTTGCATTCCACAGGCAGTGACAAAGTCAGCCATAGGCAGAACTGGCTTTAGAAATGCTCTGCATTGATTTCATCATCGACCAT